GCCTCTGAATGCTGGGCTCAGCAAGAAAGAAAAAAGCTGCCCACCAACCAAAACAAAGAGCTCCAGGAAATTAAGGGGGAGAAAAGAAAGAAAAAAAGAAGAAGCAATAGAGTCCCAGTGCTGAGCGCATCCAACGCGCTGCGTTTGAGCCGCGCGAATGGGAGCCAAGCGGGCGGGAAGGGCGAAGCACACCGGCCAGCACCTGCGCTCATCGTCCCCATCCGTCCCTTCTGCCCCGGCCGCAGGAGGCTGTTTGGGACGCAGCCGTACCTCACTGCTAAACACAGCGAGGGTGGGGGGAAACCTCAGCGCTGCAAAACTTCTCACGCAGAGCCAAGCGTCCGTGTTGGTCCTTTACAACCGGACAGCGCGCAGCCCAGGGGCTGCCCTACCGAACCGCAGCAGAACGCAACACGGGACAAGGAGACAGCGGCAGGCAAAGAACCGGGCAAACCCAGCTCAGTAAGGCTTTGCTTTCAACGATTCTCTCCTTTTCTCTCCCCCTTAAAAAAGAGGTACATTTGCAGCCAACCCCAGCAGTGCGGCAGAACCCATGCCTTCACATCCCCTCGCATCCCCCGCAGGTTGCTCCCGTTTCCCAGCACGAACCACGTGGCGAAGTCTGCGCCGGGAACAGCCCGCAGCCCATCTCAGGACGCCCCGCATCGCAGCCGATCTCCCGCACCCTCCGCTGCCTCTGCCCGCACCGGGCTGTCTCAAGCAGTTTCCGCATTGCTTTACGCGGCTGCTGAGCAGAAAGAGGGCACGGGAGGCACCGCGCGGCAGCACCGCTCCGCAGCAGCGCGGCACAGCGCGAGCCCCGCGTCGTGTCAGCGGGAAGCGTCCCGTGCGCTGCGTGCAGGCAGCTCTGCGCGGTGCACGGGCTGCACGCCGAGCCGGGGAAGCACGGGCACGGCACCGCGGGGTTCAGATCGGCGCGTGCCGCTCTTACGGCCGCCGAAGCACCGCTCGGTCTCATGCCTGCAGCCGCGGCTTCGGCCGGGCGCAGCGCTCAATGCGGCCGGGCCCCCAGCGGGTCGGGGGCCGCTCCGTCCGGCAGCCCCGAAATCTCAGCCCCACGGCCCCGTCCTTCCATCCCACGTACGGACGGTACCGCGGGCGGCGCCGGGCCCCGCTCAGCCCAACGGGAGCCCGACGGAGCGGCGGTGGCCGCAGGCGGGGAAGGGACCGGGAGAGGCGGGGGGTCCCAGAACGGAGCGCGGAGCGGGGGCTGAGCCCATTCAATGAAGGGGGGTGAGGAACCGACCGACGGACAGAAAGCGGCGACGGCTGCAGGTCCCGCCGCTCCCCACGCCCTTACCTCCGCAGCAGAGCAGCAGCAGCCCCAGCAGGCGGGCGGGCAGCGCGGAGCCCCGCGGGGCCATGGCATCCCGGGCGGGCGGCTCGGCTCCCCGCGCCCCACCGAGAGGGAGCGGCCCAGGAGGGAGAGGAGAGAGGCGAGAGCCACCCTCCAGTGGAGAGAAGAAAGAGAGAAAGAAAAACTAAAAAAAAAAAAAGAACACCAAACAACCGAAAACGGGGGTGAAGAAAGCAAAAAGCGGATTTCAGCGCAGCTCCCCTCCGAGCGAGCACGCCGCCGCGCCGGGCGGGCGGGGGGCGGTGCTGAGGGAGCGGGGCCGGCGGGGGCGGGCAGCGCCTTGCGCCATCTTGCGTGGCCGCGCGCCTATCGCGTGGGCGCCGCGCCGTCCCTCGGGGCTGTGCTTTGCCGGTGTTCCCTCAGCAGAGCCGCCTCGGGGGTCTCCCACCGCCGTTCTCCTGTGAGGGTCTTCCTCGCCCGAGCTGCCCCGTGGATCACCGCCGAGGCATCTGTCCTCTCCGGTCTCCCTTCGCTACTGCTCGGTCTCTTCGCCGCAGCTGCCTCACGGCTTTCCTCTGAGCGGCATTCCCTCATGATGTCTCACCATCTTCCCTGGTCTCCTGACTGCTCTCCCTTCGCCGCTGTTTCCCCACAGGTGGCGGTTGGCTGGGGCAGCCCATGCGATCAGTAGAATCACAAGGTTAAAAACGACCTGTCAGATCATCTAGTGCAACCGTCTTCTCGTTACTGTTGCTACCACAAAGTAAACCATAGGGCTTAGGGGATGTCGGGGGTGTTCTCATCGTGGCTGCCTCAGGCCTGGCCCCTCGCTGCACCCGTCGATCTCAGTCCCTGTGTTGGAAATGGTGCCCAGGCCTGCAGCACACGGTGAGCTCAGAGCTCTTGGCTGCAGTGCTTCCTCGTGATTGCCTCAGCTGTGCTCGCACCTGGGGGCTGCCTCTTACCCGCCTACAGGGATGGTAACCACAAACCTGGTGTTAAACTGGGCTGCAAAGAGAAAAGGCGCTGTTGAGATGGAGCAGCTTCAGACTGCTCTGTCGTGGGTTTCATCCTCAGGCTATCTTGGAAACCCAGACTGCCCACTGAGTTGGTTGTCAGTGCAACCAACTGCAGAATTGCATCTGCAAAGAGCGGGGCAGTGCGGTTGCAGGGTGGCAGCTGGGAAGAGATCCCAAATCTGGGGAGGCACAGAGGACAGGCGTGACAAAGCAGCAGCTTGGCTTGTCCCAGCCCAGCGCTCCTCATTCTAAGCACCATGATGTGACTTAGCTGGGTGAGTCATACAGTCATACTGCCTTTGAAGGTGCTCTTGTATTCGATGAACAACCCAGCGAGGAAGGACTCAGCAGGGGATGAGGTGCCTAAATCCTACAGCAGCCTGAAGATAGCGTCCCAGCTTATGTCATGAAATGAGGTAACAACGCTGCCCAGCTCTCAGCCCTAATGCCAGAACAGTACCTTGCTGACACAGAATCACAGAATTGTAGGGGCTGGAAGGGACCTCCAGAGATCATCGAGTCCAACCCCCTGCCAAAGCAGGTTCCCTACAGCAGGTCGCACAGGTAGGCATCCAGGCAGGTCTTGAACATCTCCAGAGAAGGAGACTCCACCACCTCCCTGGGCAGCCTGTTCCAGTGCTACCAGTCCTTCCACTGGTGCTGCCCAATACTCTGCCCCTCTCTGCAAACACAACTTCCACTCATCATAATCATCGTTAGTGAAGTCATCTCTTCAGTGACCGCTCAAAGTCTTTTGTGTGTTTGTCTGAGGGCAGAGGGGGCAGACAACAGGAAAAAAAGAAAAACAACAGAATTAGATCTTAAGTCTAATTCTTTGCACCAAAACAGGTTACTAATCCTGCCTGGGTCAGAAACTGATGAGAACACGTTGTAAAGACAGGCAATGGATAGAGACAGCTCCCTGGATGGTGCGCTCTGATGCGGTGGAGCCGGTTAGCATGGAAAGGAGACGTCACTGCATCTGCTCCACATTAAAGGTTTGCTCATTTAGAGTAGAACTGATCTGTAAGAAGTTGCTTTCAGTGGGGAAGAATTTGCTCTGGGCTGAACTGGCCCTGTTGGCCCCTCAGGAACATCTGAATTCCTGCACCGTTGCTGACCTTTTGCACAAACTCTGCTCCTGCTTCCTGCTCCCCAGCCGTCTCCCTGGCTGCCACCATGCAAGCATTTCTCTATCACTCACAGCCACTACAGGCTCATAGCAGCTCCAGGGACGCTACCAGTGTGGTAAACATCTCCAGAATCTGACTAGCCCCAAGGATTTCTTGTCAGAATCAATAATTCTAAGGGAAAAAAAAACAAAAGAAACAAACAAACAAACAAAAAAAACAAAACAAAAAACCCAACCCACCACAGTGTGTTTTGTAGTGCTTCTTTCCCCTAGAAGCCTGATTTTGGATGCTTTTGCTCCTGTGAGTAGGTGATGGCAAGGGTGGCAGTGGCAGGACACAGGACTGGGGACAGGCAGCCATCTCTTCGAGGGCACGGCTCAGTGCAGCCCACATCTTGCAGCTGACATGGGTGACACCACTGGTGTCACATTTAGAAATCCCAAGTGTGCCCAACAATGGGACTCATGTTCAAAGCAATGAGATTTTCAAAGAAAAATGCAAGTTTGCAGCCTTTCTTAGAGTTACTTGAGGACAGCATCTGGAGCACTCATGTTTTTCTGTGCTCTTCTGTAACTATGAGGGCTTAAAAAGTTTTGTAGTGGTGGACTCAGGAATTTGTTTATCACGCTGTGAGCAGAAATTTGAAAAACGGCCCCTCATGCAGAGGGGTCCCAGCACCATCTGTCTGTTGTCCCCCTCAGAAGTTACCCAAGTTATCCTCCATGAGAAGCAGCTCCAAGGGCTCAGCTCACCGCCTGCTCAGTGAACTTCTATCAGTGCCAGAAGTGCTCCTGATTTACACCAATTAATTGCAGACTGAGGTCCCCAAGACACCATTAGTAATTTCAGGGAACGAAGCGGGAGATTAACCTGTCTGAATTAACTCCATTTATTATTCTCAGTGTAACTGTGGTTTCCCTGTCTGCTAACAGTCTGGGAGCTTTTCGCTTCCATAAACATAGGTGGGGTTTTGACGTCTGTTTTGTGATCTGTGTCATAGGAGAGCCAAAATCAGGGCACCCATCTGGAGGTACAGAGCTCTGCCGCTCCTGGGAAGTGCTCCTGGAAGCTGCTTTTCAGCATGAAAACTCTGCTATCCGTGCTCAGGGCTGTGGCTGGGATCAGCCCAGGCTGTGTGACAGAGGGGTGATGACATGGTGTTGCTGTATGTCCTTGGTCAGACCTCTCTCCCTCAGGCATGGCTGTAAAATACTGCACGGAGGCATGCTGCTGTTTGGAAAGCCTGGGAGAGGCTTTATAACTGCTTTATAACACATTGCTTGCAGTGCAGAGTGTAGTATGGGGTGCGTGCAGCTGTGGAGCATCATCCCAAGCCACCTCCCTGCATCACAGCCCTTTGCCTCATTGTGCCACTTCCCACCAAGCTGAGCTGGGCAGCGTTCTATACCGGCTGCTTACCGACTGAGCTGACCAGAGCCTTGAGCTCAGTGCAGTGATTGCCAGCTGCATCACAGCACTGGATACAGGGGTGATAAAAGAATGAAATGCAGACAGATGCCTTGCTCTTACCTGCACTCCTCTGTAATCCCAGTTCCCCTGTAACTGCTCTGTCTGTGAATCCCTCTGCTGTTAACTCAGTTGCTGTCTTGTTTCCAGTTGTCCCACTCAGCAGCATCACACTGAGAAGTGGGACAAGCAGTCAACCCCCCACAAAGGTCCTTCCTCGCTCATTACCTGTCATTAAGAGAAAGACTCATCGGAGTTACAGTTTGACAGAGTTCCCTTCAACCACCATCAGAGAACACTACACTAAGTGCAGATTTATTACCACTGTAATGCAGATAAAATGAGATTTTATGGCCCTGTAGTCCTGGAAGCATAAAGCAATAATGGAAGCTATCTACTCAAGTAGGGAATGCATCCTAGGAAGAAAGGGAGATGCACGGGAGGTTAATAGCGTTCCTCAGGCACTGCCAGGCATCTTCTCACCAATCTGGCTGGACACAAGCCACTAAGTGTTTAATTCAGTGCATCGTCTAAGAGAGGCCTCACCATTTGCTTGCTAGATGCTTCTGCTTATTTTCCAAATAAAATTCCTCAATAATGTAATGGATAAAACTGGAGGGTTTGGGTTTGTTTTGTTTGTTTGTTTTTTTAAATAGGAATCAGCTCAATAGCTGAGAAATGAGCAAGCATCAAGAAAGACCTGCTGACCCCAAACTGTGCCTGAAATCCCAGCAGAGTGATGTCTAAGGAAGAAAGCACTCACCACCATAACACTCCCAGCCTCCATGGTTACAAGCTCAGGCACTGAAGTGAGCATGAATCCCGAGTCCTGCTCCCACCAGCAAGCACTGCAGCTGCAATATAACCTCCAGTTAGCAGACCAGACACTGGTTCTGGGTATTTGCCTCCACTCTTTCCATCAGTGATCTCTATCAGCTCACACAGATGAACAAGTCCTGCATCAGTCGGGTATGGGCTGCAGAGAGGTGGTGAAACCTATGCCATCTTCTCACTGTGACCAAGCACAACAACCAGAGGCACTCTGCCACGTAGCCTCAGGGCTCTCAGCTGCAAGGTCTTGCTCAGATCCATCGTTGAGTTCCTCGGGTAAGCATGAGGAGATTGGAGATGTAAGCAAATGCACATGCGGTCCCTCTCACACCACAAGGCACAGCTCTAGTCAGGCTGCAGAGATACACAAGCATTGGGGCAGGATCAGCCTTCCACAGCAAAACTCTTCCTCAGAGCAAGAGTTGCAAAAGATGGACTCAGGAGACAAATTCCACTGGTTTTCTGTTGTGCGTGTGAGGTTTTTTAGGGTTTTATTAATAATCCATTAGTTAAGGAATATAAGGACAACGTTTTCTTACACTTTAGCACTCGAGTATTTGTGGAGTAAGAACAGTCTCTGAAGAAAGAAAGTTATAATTAAGTACAGCATGGAACCAAATACAGACACAATCTTCAAACAAGACCAAGCTCTGGTTACACATCCTTATGCACTGTGCAGAAAGTGAAACGAAATTTAATTTTAAAATATTAGCATAGGAACATGATAACAGAACTAGATGGTAGGTTTCTGCTGGACTACACACCTCTTCTCTAACAAGGGCATTGATTAGAAAAGACACAACGATCCCTTCCAAACATCTATTTCTAATGAGATCAAAAACATACACAGCGATCCACTACAATGGGTGTTTTCTTATAGGTGTGTTTCATGGGCTGATCTCAGGATTATTAGCTAGTAACATAACAAATTCTCAAAGCCTAGGTTATAAGTTAGCTCATCTTAACTATTTAAACCAGAATCTTACTGTCTGTTAAGTAAGAAATCAAATTGCAAAGTTGAGATATTCAGCTCAGTCGTGTATTTCATCTAACAAAGATCTAAAAGAAGAAAAGGATAAGAATTGTGACTCTCACAGCAGCATGGAAATATACAGTTGTGTAGCCAAACGGTAACATTAATACCACAAAATTATGCCAGAGAGACAGATTTGACATTTTAACAAAGTAAAACAACACACACTGGCAAAAAGCTGAATAGCAATAACCTTTAGTGTTACTGGAAGGGAGAAAAGGGGGAAGGGAGCCTGATGATTAGGAACATATATTAAGTACAATGGGTAATTAAAGGTAACAACAGTTTGAGCGTCTGTGAGAAATTGGCAAGAAAGCTACTTATTTCATGATAAAAAAATATACGCACTGGTTGTTTCAAGCTTTACATGAAATGTATGTTATCTGTCTTCTTCCTTTCACTTCTAATCCAGTCCCACATGTGCCCAATCAGCATGGGGGGGCTGGGGTACAGCTGCACCAAACGAGGGCACAGAGATCAGCTTTGCTGCTGCCAATCAGCAGTGATCTCTTGTTTCTGAGAGACCCGCTCTGATTTCTGCAGCTGAGGTTTGCTGCCTCAGTCCACTGTCACGCAGCACCTGGACATCCAAGCTTCATGCTTCAGAAGCCTCAACATGAGGAAACAAAGAATTTCTGTGGTGCTTAAGGAGAGCACTCTGCTCTCAGACTATGCAGCTAACCCAGTGGTTTGTGACTTGCCCAAGATGAGCCAGGTGAGCAGTGCCACACCATGCTTGCTTGTGCGGGCTTCCGTGACAGGCAGGGATGGATAGTGGGCTGATCAGCATTGCTCAGCCCATGGTTATGTGATTCCTAAAGCTGGTACAGACAAAGCAGAGGGTGGATGTACCTAGGAATGTCCCTATGGCACAGCCCCTCATCAGCCACGGGACTAAGCCTCCATCCACACAAGTCCTCTGTATGGAAAGATCAGGGCTGACACGTCACCTGCCCCAGGTACAGCATGACCACAGGAAGCCAGCAGAGCTCCAACATCCATTGTGCCTGCTGCGGGCCCAACTCCTCCTGGCACTGCCCTCCAGCAGTGGGATATCAGTGGAAGTAATCCTTTGATGTGCTTTCATGCTTGCAGATGGCAACTTGGCTTTGGAGATGAAAGAAGTCACAGATGTTCTTCTAGAGCGAGCTTTTTTGGAGCATGGTCTTCATCTCCTTTTGCACACCAAAGTTAGCATGGCTTGTCCAGGCAAGGACTCCCCCACGAAATTGACTACCAGCTCAGGTCCAGCTACAGAAATCTGCCCCCACCTCCACAGCTGGTGCCTGATAGTCCCCAGTTGGAGGGTTTACACTCCTGCAATTGCATCCGCTCTCATATAACTGTGAATGACCCTTATTGCCTGCAATAACACTTCACTGCCTTATCGGTAACACTGCTAAGTTGTTAGTTTCAAAGTCTTGTGGCAGTGAGTTCTTGGAGGTTAATTATGCACTTCCACTGCCCAGTTATCATGGCTTTCTAGCTTCATGCATTAACTCCTGCCTAGCAATGATTTCCAGCCTCTGCTTTTCAGCCATGGTGCTTCAGAGCCCAGAACAGCATTTCTGAGACTCCTGGGCTGGAGTCGCTCCAAACACCAACTGGAGCAGCTGAGTCAACAAGTAGAAGTACAGACGTGTAACAGAGTGTCATGCTGGGGGGAGAAACTGTAGCATGGGGAAAGGTGGAAGCTTCAACAACAGCTTCCCAGTGTACATGGAAGCTTAGAGGTTCCCTGCTGAACAGCAGTCTGGCAGCAAGGACAAAGGCTGGTCCAGCTCAGCTCCAACGCAGGGCACATTGAGAGGGTTCTCAGAAACGATGAGAAATTATCTCCTGTTCATCCAAAACCTTCAGCAAGCTCACTGCTTATGGGAGGACGAGTTGCTCTCTGGAACTTGAGCATGAGTGGTCTCCATTTGAGCACAAAAGATGTCCCCAGGCTCACAAGTTAAATTTGTAATTGTTGGTTCTTTTCTTCCTCTTTGCTAGCGTAAATTTCTTAAAGAAAAACTGATCAACATCCTGCCAGCTGAAGCAGTCTCCTTTGGCCAGCTCCTGTAAAATACAGTCCTACAAAGAAACACAACCCCCTCCAGCTGTAGGGAACGTGTCTAAGCAATACTTAGAAACAAAGCAAGATAGACATCAGCTCTGCAGCACTATTCAAAAAAATAGTCAACAACCAGTGCAAACATATTCTTTAGAAAAAGGCAGTATAAGAATAAGTTAAAACCTATAATGGACTATAACAAAAGAGTAGATCTACTGCTTTTTTCTCCAACAGACATGAGGTAGTTGTGTTGTTAGGGAGGACAAAAAAACAAAGGAAAGAGAGAAGTAGTAAAAATGCTACTCTATACCACACGCTACTCCACTTCATAAAATTAAATAATATAAAGATGCTCCAAGGAAATAAAAATACATGTCGTACATTAAAAGGACAGATGCGTACCTAAAATATTAGGTACAAGAACCTTCATAAAACAAAGTCCAGGCTGGTGAAATGACCCAGACACCAAAGAAGGTTCTATACAGTACAAGTTGTTAGAGGCACTCGTAGAGTGTGTAATAAAAGGCCACTACATCAGCCTGCTAGCAATGGTTACTGTGGCAGCGTACCAAGAGAGCCTTATTAATCCTTTTAACCACGGGAGGGCAGAAAAGGCTGGTGGTTACAGCTCTGTTTGTTGCATTGGTTCCACCCCCGTGTGGGACTCTGACAAAGTCCATCCCAACACCAGAAGGCAGCAGGTAGTCCAAGGCCTCCGTGGACAAGAGAAGTTGAGGAGACTGGCTCAGCACACCGTGCCTCTTGCCAGGCGTACAGGGGCCTACAGTGAGGTGATGGCACCAGCCCAACACAGAAGGCTCTGCTCTAGCTGTGGTTTCATGTCAGTCTTCGGCAGACACCTCAGTTCTGCTCCCAGAACACCAGGTTGCTCATTAGCTTCGGCGGAAAGATGGGCCCTTATCAGTCTACCTACTGATTTCTTGAAGGCGATATGTACAGCTGACAGGTCCTAACCCCGTTCTGGTGAGATGCTGCACCTTCTTAGCTCGATCCAGGGAACCGAGGGCATGCAGTACCTCAAGGGAACAGGCCCTTAGCGGTGCTTCTAGCTCTCCCATGATCAAAATCAGATTAGTTTACTCTTCAATGATTGTGGACACATGCTATGTTCTCAGATGCTGAGGATGAACTGGTTAAACCAGAGTTACTACACAGGGGAGCCTCCTCTGGGGCCGCAGATAGCGCCTGGCACTTGACTGCCTGCACATCCCCCCTGCCTTCCGGGATGGAGTCCAAATCTCCACTCTCCACTGAATCCAAACTTTCCCCGTTCCTGTGGAAGCCATTGGTGAGCCCGGGGATGCAAACGGCCTCTGCTGTGTTAGTCTTTCTGGTGGCATACAACAGCTCATCCTGGGTCTGAGCCTCCACGCTGCCCGAGCAGTCCATCAATGCTTGGAGAGCATCCTGCTGGGTGCTGGGAGAGCT